TTTCATCGGTGAGATAAGGGGCCGACTCTTTACCCTCTCTGAGGGCCTCATTCTTAGCGGTTATGAGTGCATCACAAAAGTCCCTTTCAATGGATTCCGAGTAGTCTTTCTGATGTGAAATATATTTATGTTTCATGAGTTCTGCGGAGTCTTTAAATAATTTCCTCATTTTATTGACTCGTTTTTTGTCTATTAGTCTAAATATCGGTGAGAATTCCCACAAAATAAAGCTAGGTCCGACCTCTCGACCAAAATCCCTTAAGACATACTTCAGATCCTTAAACTCCTTATCCTCCAAATCATAACTATTCATATAATCATATTCAATAAAGTAAGAAATAAATATATGTTCAGGTATCAATTATTATTCAATGCTTACCTCTGCCCAAACGTACTGGTGGCTAATATGTTGAGAAATGTGAGATATATGTAATTGATGGGCGAAAAGGGTTTACCCACTCCTTCCTTATCTAATATGGTTTTCACCGTCCGGTCCACACAATCGGTGGCCACGTATGCCAGCCTATCGTTTGTCGAGTATTTTCTATAAATCAATTTAATTTTGGGATGAAATATGATTTAATAATTTATAAATTATTGTTAATACAGTATCTAAATTTTTAAACAATTTGACACATACTGTACGGCCGAGTGGGCGACCCTTCTAAGAGCTTCCCAGGTATGTCCGTAATCGGTAAATACAACGTCTTTCATCGTGTCATTGGATAATTGAGATCCTATTTCATAGGGATATATTATTTCGATACTTTTTGTTTTAAAATTGAAAATAAATGATTAGCATACCGAAAAATGAATCAGTCCTGCCAGCAATGTCATTTTTCTTGAACGCCTCGCGAGCCATATCTATGTCCGTAACAAACACGTGGGGGGAGTTTCCCAACCAAACCGTGAATACCGGGCCGTACTTCTTGGCCACATTCCGGAGCACATCATCGAAATGGAGTTTCGATTTGAACACTGTTTTCAATTTTATTTTTATAATTAATTTATTAGTTTTTAAGACTTATCACAACTATATTATAAATACTTACTCAATATATTTCCCAATAAAGGAACTGGATGTGGCCCGGGAGGCAAATTGGATCTCAAGTAATAAAATTTAGCTATTCTATACACTATATAACCAATTGTCAGGGTTATTACAGACGTGCGAATATCTGTCGCAAATAGTGACAATAAATGCGATAATATAGACATTTTAATTACTATATGTATAAGATTTATTAATGAAACTTCTAAAAGGATATTTTTTAAATAACTTTTAAATACTTAGAAATAAAATTCTCTCCTTCTTATATACCCCTAAAATAAAGTTTTAAATATCCTTAAAATCAAATGTCGTCACTTTATGGATGGGATTGCAATATCTAATCACAATTACAGTTGTCTGTAAATGCTGATTATCCCATTGTTTACAATATAATTATAGAATATTTGAATTATACTGTAAACACAAATATTTTTTAAACCCATTTAAATTAATATTTAGTATAATTTAATATTTAAGTTATATGAAATAAATAAAACGATTCAGCACTGTATATACAATATTAATATATAATAGAGTTAATTTATTTATTCTATAAGTAGCATAGTGCGCTATATAACATAAATTAATAAGTGTACTGGTGATTATCTCCAGTGCATTAAGGACAGTGTTACCGAATAGTACCCTTGAGTATAAACATTCAATGTTTACATTATTACAAATTTAGATATATTTTTAACATATCATGAATTTTCTGAGAAGTTTAGTAATATAATTTTAAATTCATTCATTTAAATTTGATTTTATTATTATTGCCCAAAGATTTGATTTTTAATGCTTTTAATTTAATCTTTTTGTTAATATATGAATACATGCAGATATTAGTTGTACAGGGATAAAGGTAATCCAACGGTTTTGTTAAATATTATGTAATAAATAAAGAATAATTAACTAAAATTTGTAATTTATTTAAAAATGAATATGCAATATTTTTGAGCAAAGTTACATTGTTTTTAAGTAAGTTTATTGATTTTATACTTTTATTATGTTTTTCTATATCATTTACAATTATGATTATTCATTAATATTTTTTAAATACTTTTTATAAACATAAAATAGCTATTTAGTTTAAGCTTTCAATATTTATTGATAGTATCAGTGAAAATGACTTAAAAATAAAAATTAAGTTATTTGCCGAACGTTTGGTCAACACTGTGACCATCATCAGGGCTTAAGATGTGATCAGATATGAGAAAATATTTCAAAAGTTATATATCAAATAACTAGTAACCATACAATGAATATAATACTATTCTACAAAAGTTTATTGACTTATGTTTTTTAGTAATATTTGATATGGAGGAGCACTTAAAGAATCGATAACATTAGGGTCGGCTTCAAGACCACAATTACTGTCGAGGACTATATCGTAATCATGAGTCGACTGCAGAAATCTGACCAAAACTATGAAGAGGTTAGCGATGGCTAACTTCTCTCCCGGACAAACACGTCGTCCCACACCGAACGGGATGTACGCCTTTGGGCGGGTAGTCTTATACCTGCCCTCACTGTCCAGAAATCTCTCGGGAATGAACTCATTTCCTTTGTGCCAATCCTTATCATTACGACAAATGATTCCCTGACACACAAGAACTCCCATATTTTCAGGGATTGTATATTTGCCTGAAATTATTCAATAATAATAACTTTAAAATATTATGTAATCTTAAGAAATTTATTTACCGATAGTAGTCCTGACAACAGCCCTATGAGGGACTCCCTGTGGGGCTATATTCCTGAACCTCAGTGTTTCGGCGATGAAAGCCATGACATAATGGCATCGATTCCTGTCCTCATGTGTTGGCATTCGGTCTCCGATTTGTGTCTCAATCTCTTGTCTCAACTTTCGCTGCATTTGCGGGTAATATGTCATCAGAAGAAGCATCCATTGGAATGTCTGTTGAGAGGTATCGGTTCCGGCAAAAAACAGATCCAATATAGTCATCACCAGGTTATCATCGGTGAGATAAGGGGCCGACTCTTTACCCTCTCTGAGGGACTCATTCTTAGCGGTTATGAGTGCATCACAAAAGTCCCTTTCAATAGCATGCGAGTAGTCTTTGAGATGTGACAAATATTTCTGTTTTATTAAATCGATGACATCCTTAAATAGTTTCTTCATTTTATTGACTTGTTTTCTGTCTATGAATCGCATTACAGATGAAATTTCCCATAACATCGCTCGAGATCCCGTCTCTCGACTAAAATCTCGTAACACATACTTTATATCTATAAACTCCTTGTCCTCCAAATCATAACTATATAAATAATTATATAAAACAATTGAGAAATAAATACATAAATAACTTAATGTATTCAGTAGACAAAAATGCAAACCTCTGTCCAAAAGTACTATTTGCTAATATGTTGAGAAACGTGAGGTATATGTAATCAACAGGCGAAAAGGGTTTACCCACACCTTCCTTATCTATTATAGTTTTCACAGTCCGGTCCACACAATCAGTGGCCACGTCTACGAGCCTGTTATTTAGCGAGTATTTTCTACAATTAAATCAATGCAATTAATACACTACATGTTCATTAATTCAATGTCTAATAATAATTAGACACATACTGTACGGCCGAGTGGGCCACCCGTCTCAGTGCCTCCCAGGTATTTCCGTAATCGGTAAACACCACGTCTTTAACATCATCGTTTGAGAATAAAGATCCTATTCAATTGAAACAGTTTTCAGTTTATGAAACACATTATGTTATTTGATTTTCTAAATTTGAAATTGTTTTGTACCGAAAAATAGTTCAGTCCTGCCAGCAATGTCATTTTTCTTGAATGCTTCGCGAGCTATGTCTATGTCCGCAATCATCACATTAGGGGTGTTTCCCAACCAAAACGTGAATACCGGGCCATACTGTTTGGTCATATTTCGGAATATATCGTCCCAATGGTGTGTAGATTTGAATACTGATCTCAATGTTAGAGTAATTTTTAATTTAATTAAAAAATATTTTAAATCTTTATTCATCTCTATTCACCAATACTTACACAATATATTCCCTAAGAAGGGAAGTGGAAATGGACCAGGAGGTAATGTGGATCTCAGGTGGTAAAATCTAGCTACTTTATACATTATATAACAGATTATCAGGGTAAATGCGGCCGTTTGAATATCGGTTGCAAACAATGACAATAAGTGAGTTAATGTTGACATTTTAAAATTACTTTGCTGTATTTTTAAAAATAATTTTTCTGTAATAAAAAAATACAAAACAACTACAATAAGACAAAATTATACCACTTTGTAAAATATGTTGATTTGTATGCCCTTGATGTTATATTTGCCTCAATTGACTACAAGGTCTTATCAATTATCATTAATACTCGCAAAAATTAATATGTTGATGATTTTTCATAATATTTAAAAATTAATAGGTTAAATAATATATTGTTAATATAATATTATTAAGTTATTTTTACAAAATATTATTATTTAAATTTACAAGTTTTATATGAACATCATTTCCAATTATATTAATCGCTTTTTAATTATTAATTATGGAGAAGATAAAAATACATTGACCCTGAATACATTTACTGTACACACGTGATACCAGTCAGTACATTAAGGGCAGCAATAACTTTTAGTTGTGAATAGATTGTACCTAAAAGTATAAGCAAATCTATCATGTACAATACAATATAGCTACAATAGATATTTTTATGTAATTTTGTTTTAATTAAATAAAACATTTAATGAACACAATTATAATTTAAATATCTGCTGAACTTCTTTTATTAGTAAATATTATTTTCAAGAATCCAAATAATACATTCATACCTTTAAGTTTAATTAAGAAATGTTAATTGTTTATATAACGATAATAGTCAAATTAAACAATAGCAATTTGTCGTTTAACGATTATATCACATAATTTTAACACAAGTTTATTGACTTTTGTTTTTCAGTAATATTTTATAATCTGATGGATTAAAAGAGTCGGAGATATTAGGGTCGGCTTCAATACCACAATTACTGTCGAGGACTATATCGTAGTCTTGAGTCGACTGCAGAAATCTGACCAAAACTAGGAAGAGGTCAGCGATGGCTAACTTCTCGCCCAAACAAACACGTCGTCCCACACCGAACGGGATGTACGCCTTTGGACGTGTAGTCATGAACTGTCCCTCACTGTCCAGAAACCTCTCGGGAATAAACTCAAACCCTTTGTCCCAATCCCTGTCATTTCGACAAACTATCCCCTGATATACGAAAACTCCCATATCTTTAGGAATTGTATATTTACCTAAAATGTTTGATTATAATGTTTAAAATTAAATTAGTGTTATACTTAATATAATATAAATTTGTTTACCGATAGTACTCTGGACAACAGCCTTATGTGGGACACCAAAAGGGGCTACATTTCTGAACCTCAGTGTCTCAGCGATGAAAGCCATGACATAATGGCATCGATTCCTGTCCTCATGTGTTGGCATTCGGTCTCCGATTTGTGTCTCAATCTCTTGTCTCAACTTTCGCTGCATTTCCGGATAGTATGTCAACAAAATTAAAAGCCATTGAAACGTCTGCTGAGAGGTATCGGTGCCCGCGAAGAACAGATCAAATATACACATCGATAGGTTGGCATCAATGAGATAAGGGGCCGATTCCTTGTTGTCTCTGAGGGCCTCATTCTTAGCACTTATGAGTGCATCACAAAAGTCTCTCTCAATATCCTCCGAGTAGTCCGAGTAATGAGAGACAAACTTATGTCTAATTAAGTCGATGACACCTCTTGTGACTGCTTTTTGTTTTTTAACCATTTTTCTATCCAATACACGAATTATAGGTAAGAATTCCCACAACAACATCCTTCCGCCGACTTCACGTCCAAAGTCTTTGATCCCATATTTAAGTTCTTTAAACTCCTTGTCTTCTAAATCATAGCTATAAATATAAAACATTATTAATGATTGAAATTATATGATTCATTATAACCTATTATACCACATACCTCTGTCCAAAAGCACTGGTAGCCAGAATGTTGAGAAACATTAGGAATATATACTCGTGCGGTACAAACGCTTTGTTCAGCCCTTCCTTTTCTATTATGGTGTTCACCGTCCGGTCCACCGACTCATTGGCTAAATACACCAATTTATCATTTGAGGAGTACTTCCTATAGTTTTTATATCAATTAATCACTGATCCGTAGTAAACAAAACATAAATGGACGGCACGTACTGAATAGCCGAGTGTGCGACCCGTCTTAACGCCTCCCACGTGTGGCCATAATCAGCCATAATTACGTCCGTAAACTCATCGTTGGACAGCTGACTGCCTGATTAATATACATATATTTAATGCAATAAAATCTAATTTTAGATAAATATTTGTATACCGATATAGGAATTACTTCTGCCGGCGAAGTCATTCTTACGGAAGGCCTCGCGGGCCAACTCACTGTCCGTCACAATAACCTGCGGTGTAGTCCCGAACCAGAACGTGAATACCGGGCCGTACTGTTTGGCCACATTCCGGAACACCTCATCCCAATGTAGGGGCGACTTGAACACTGGTCAGTGATCATCAAGCACAGTTTAGAAGTATTTATGTGTATTTGTTAATATGTGATAACTCACATAAAATATTTCCGAGTAAAGGGAGTGGGTGTGGACCAGGAGGTAATGTGGATCTGTAGTGATAAAACTTGACTACTCTATACACTATGTACCCGATTACCAGTGATATAAGGGTCGTACGAATATCCGATGTTAATATAGACAATAATTGTGTCAATACAGACATATTAACTGATAGTAATCACTGTTATAACAAAAACTCATTCAAATGAAACAAACATTAATCAGAAAATGTTTGATTGTGTTTAACCAAATGCAAAGTTTCACTCCTTTTATATGAAATCATCGAATAGAAGACCTTGGATAGTATAAACCAAGGCAAAAGCTCCTGTATAGATAAATGCTATACATAGTGTTTACAGCACTTCAGTTCATATGACTACGGGTATAATTTTATTAGACACTGTACTATACATATGCGAGTATTAAAACAGAATAAGAATTACTAAAGAATTATTCATAAGAAAGCAATTAAAACACATATTATGGACCAAAAACCATATTTGAGGTTTCAATACTGTATTATTACTAAATCTAGCTCGGTTACTGAATAAATGATATTCTAGTTATCAAAAATATCTTGAAGAACTTTTCCAATACTTACCCTAATATTTAAATGGCAAAACCTTTGTCAGTGTAGTAGACACAACTAATAAAAGGGTTTATTAAAAATTTAATTAATATCACATTAATTAAGCTGGGCTAATTATAAGAATATACACACAAAATACTTCTGCTCCTGTCTGGTCTAAACTCTAATTAGCTGATGTTCATAACCTTGGTATTATTCAACGTTAATCTCTATTGCAATTTACTGGCTATTATTTATAATTACATCTAACTGTAAGATAAACAACTTAATGGTGAAGTGGTTTGAAATTTACAACAGACGTGTTACTTGTTTAAATAACTTTGCATGTATATTATGTATTTGATTATGAGCTCATTTTACTAATCATCATAATTTATTTATATCGTCAAATTGAATTGTATTTCATTACAAAGTAAATATAGTATTATATAACATTGATTTTAAGAATGTCAAAATATTGTATTTATTGGTATATTCAATACAATACTACAAAACAATATTGTAAATAATATACTGTACTTATATTTAGCATGTAAGTAAGTGTTGTTTATCTCATTATCAAACAACTAAACAAGTATAGTTTTAAATTAATTTAATTGTAATTTTATTACAATATCTTACATTGATAAATAATTACATGTTTAATCAATATATAGTATTTATCACATTAAATAATATTAGTTAAAAATACATAAATTAAATAAAAGACACAAAATATAGCGATGACTGAGATCAACGACTGCGACAACTATAATAAGAGTGAAAATTAACTTAAAACTCAATAATTAAACACAAAATTAAAAGTTTGAGACAAACCTTATGCTTAGTGTCCGCGATATCCGACTCTTTCTCCGATAGTTTTCGTTGTTTTGAGAAATGTTTGTCTCTTTTCTTCAAATC